GAGAGTGTTGACATGTCGTGGGGTTGTTAACCAATGTCATAAAACAATATGTGTACTGACTGTTTAATGAGAAACTATTTGTTCTGTAAACCTTCACCTGAAGTACAATTTTAAAAAAAACGTACCAACAGCTCATCTAGGATGGAGGAGATTGGCAGAGGAAGGAGGCAGAGATTGGACACCTCTGGACCTGTCTGCAAGTTCCGAAGTAAATTTTCCATTACCACATGTCTTCCTATATGGTGCGCTGAGATGCTTGCAGGTTTCAATCTGAAGTGCCAGATTCCTGGGCACAGAGAAGGTTCCCAAGGAAGAGCCCAGAGAAGTCCAGCCTGGGTGGGACTGGTATACAGTCGTCTAAAGCCAGCCTTAAGAATAGAGGGAGGGAGGCAAAATTTGCAGGATGAGATCTAAAGAGGGAAGAGTTGGGCCTTCAAGTCCTGGCTGTGACTCCCAGGGAGGGGTGAGGCAGGGATGTCCCAGAAAGTTCTGACAATTGCTGAGAGGGGTGCTGTCAGGTTTTCAACAACTGGTGGGTGGTATTGGGAGCAGGTGATAACATCTCTTCCTTTTCACTAATTTCCACTGCCTCCATCAACAAAAGTCTGACTCTGTGTGATCCCATAGCTGTTTCTCCAAACTCACTCTCTATGGAGTAAAGGGACTGTTGACAGTACGCTCTTTCAAGCCTTTCTCCACTCCCAAGGAGCCCAGACTTAGACCCAGAAATCCTACTTGTGTCCTCCAATTCAAGCCGAGTAGAGTAGACCTCCCTCTGCAACTTTTGACCCCTGGTGGTCCCGATTTCTCCAACTGACCTGGGACCTTCAGCCAGCTCAATCTAGGGACTCTATATATTGTCCTCTATGAGGCAGAGAGAGGCCCAGAAAAGGCAGTTCAATCATTCCTTTATTCAGGAAAATTTTATTAAGTATTCATGTGGCAAGTGTGCTGCTTGGTACTGGGGCTACAACAGTGATAAAGACAGACAGGGTCCCTGCTCTTGAGGAGCTTAGAATCTAAGGGGTAGACAGACATTAAACAAAAGGTTGTTAGCTTGTTGTTGTTAGCTGCTGTCAAGTCAGCCCTGACCCATGGGGACCCCATGCATAATGGAATTAGACCATTGTGAATCATAAGGCTTTCACTGGCTGATTTTCAGTACCTCATCAGGCCTTTCTTCCTGGTTCATCTTAGTCTGGAAGCTCCACTGAAACCTGTTCAGCATCATAGCAGTGCACAAGCTTTCACTGACGGACAAGTAGTGACTGCACTTGAGGTGCATTGGTTGGGAATTGAAGCCAGGTCTCCCTCATGGAAGGCGAGAATTCTACCACTGAACTACCACTGCCCTCTAAACAAATCATTAAAAAGTGATAAATACATCTATTCTAGATCCAACATTCAGTGATAAATATAACAAAGCAGTCCAAGAATGCTGGGCAGTGAGGAAGAACAGATGGGGGCTAGGGGACCTCTGCCACACAATTCCCCAAGAGTTCCAGCTTTACACCAGGTGGATGCCTCACTGCATCTATCTTCTCAGCTTGGCTACCCCCTTGATAGAAGTCGTAGCTCAGGGCACAGCTTTAAACTATCCACTGTTGATGTCTTTGCCCTGCCCAAATCTGTAAACTCTCCTTAGTTACCCATTTGCGTTTGCCACCTGTTTCCTGCCAAAACCATGATTGATATATGCCTATGTGAAAAGACTATTTACAGCAGTGTGGGTAGGGTTAAGAAAACAAAGAAGAGAAAGTTGGAGCATCCAGGTTCTAGCAACAGCGGGAAACCGTTATCATCTCTAGGCCTAAGGAGGTGTCTTAGTTATCCAGTGCTGCTATAACAGAAATACCACAGGTGGATAGCCTTAACAAACAGAAGTTTATTCTCTCACAGTCTTGTAGGCTAGAAGTCTGAATTCAGGGCGCCAACTCCAGGGGAAGGCTTTCTCTGTCAGCTCTGGATGAAGGTCCTTGTCATCAATCTTCCCCTGGACTAGGAGCTTCTCAGCACAGGGACCCCAGGTCCAAAGTACACACTATTCTCCTGGCTCTTGTTTCTTGGTGGTATGAGGTCCCCTTGTCTCTCGGCTCACTTCTCTCTTTTATATCTCAAAAGAGATTGACCCAAGACACAACCTAATCTTGTAGATTCAGTCCTGCCTCATTAACATAACTGCCACTAACACCACCTCATTAACATCATAGAGATAGGATTTACAACACATAGGAAAATCATTATCAGATGACAAAATGGTAGACAATCACACAATGCTGGGAATCACGGCCTAACCAAGTTGACAGATATTTTGAGGGGACACAATTCAATCCATGACAAGAGACAACAGAAGAAAAGCATGTTAACATAGCCTAGTTGAGAGCTGGAGTCATGGAAGAGAGGTCACCCACCAGAAGCTTTGTCCTATAAAGACCCAGCCACTGTCAGAACTGTGACAGGAAGGAAATAAGAGGAATACATACTCCAATATGTGTATGTGTATATGTGTATGTGTGTGTGTGTGTGTAAATCTCAATTTCTGTCTCTTCCTACCCTCCAGTCTTCCACTGGCTAAACACAATCTGAAGCCAAACCCAACCAGCACTTAGGTGATAAAGTCCGTAGAGGTCAACTTTCCGGGGTACAAATCAGGGGAAAAAAAGGCTTATTTGGTGAAGCAAACAGAAAAGAACCAGCCAATCATCCCTCACTGTCAAGAACACCTTAAAAGAGAGTAGTTATGTTTTTCAATTTATTACAGGGAGAATTGTTATTTTGGTAATAAGATTTTTTTTTAAAGATAAGGCAGATAGTTCCAACACACCACCTTGCACATAGCAAACGCTTAGCAGCCTTCACTGGTGGGATTTGCTATGGGTTGTTAAAGGGCCAACCTGCCTGAACAGGCTACCTGAGAACCTCAGGGCACAGCCCATTGTGAGGAAATGGAGATGACTCCGTGATTCTAGAATTCCCAGAAGCTCTTATTCAGCCTTGGGAGCTTCTGCTCACAGTTTGGTTCAGGGTTCTTGGGTGTCCCACACCAGGGCTCCCACGTTTCCCAAATCCAAATGAAGTTTCTCTTACTAATTTACCTGCTTGGCTCTGCCAGAGGTGAGTCCTCTATGTAGGCTCTGGGTGGATACATAAGGGGCCTCCTTTCAAGTGTTTCAGCCCTTGGAGAAGGAATACTCATCTCTTAGTCACCCAAACCAATCTGACTCCGAATCAGGAATCGCTAAGCAAGCCCACCTCTGAGAGCTCCTGAACCAGCTGATTCCTCCTGATTGTGGCTTTTCAGTCAGAGGGGCCCACTGGCCTGGCACAGCTTTCAGCCACTTAACATTTGTGCCTGATGCTCTGTGGGATGGGAAGATAGGCCTAGGGGTTCTCTAGAAGTCCAATGAAGGTTTGTTCCAACCTGCTGAGTGCAAGGGATCCTGGTGTAGTTAATGTGCCAAAGAAAGATATAAGGGGATGAAGACGTGCCCAGAAAAGCTCTCTTAGAACACAGCAGGGCCATGGGCCAGAGACCTTACAAGCCTCTCCTTCATGGATGTGTTCTATCCATTCTGCTGTCTTATCTCCTCTTTCAGGATCCCCCATCCTGGTAGGCTATATTCTCTCCGGCCCGCTATAGGAGAACAGAGAGGCCATGAGCTCTGAGCTGCCTGTCAGATGGAAACGTCTTTGTTTTCTGCAGTGGGCTCCCAGAGATTGTTTTTCATTTATTGTACTTTCAAAAGTTGACCCACAAATGTAGACACATGGCCAGATGGTAGTAAGTGCCAGCCACGTGGTAAAGCAGCGAGTCATAAACTGTAAGAATAGCTGACCGGGAAAAGAGGTTAGCATGTTTTTCCAAGCTTCCTTTCTATCAGAAAAATGTCTTTATTAAAATGTTAGCGAAGAATCAGTCAGGCAGACATTTCTGGAATAAGTTTTTAATATAAAAACCTCCTAAAACCTTACTAAATCTTATCTTTCCCTTATCAACATATTCTAACCCTGGTCTTTCAGAAAGACATTGACTGTAAGACTGTGATGATCCCAGAATATGTCTGTTGCAGGACTCTTACAAGCTAGAGTACTAGGGTCCTTAGACTGCCTCAGTCTCAAAGAGCCTGAAATTCCTCTCTCAACTTTTGGCTAAGGTTATTAACTCAGTCATTGTAGTCCACTTGCACCCCTCTACGTTGCTCAATCTAATGAAAGGGAAATAAATGTTTGGTGCTTCCATTCAATTGAAATGAAAATCATACTGAAGAAATATTTGGCAGTTACCGATGGGATAGATTAAAGGTAAAAGAGACTGGCCAGAAGAGAATGACCAGCTATGGGTTTTCTTATTTCCCACTGTAAGGTGGGGAAGAGAGAAAACTAAAATTAATTGAACTTGTAGGCACTGGATTAGGGACTTCACAATTTTTCTTACTGAATACTCATGATGGCTCCAAGAAATGAGTGTAAAGAGTATGTCTCAAGGAATCTCAACTCAGAGACACATAAGAATATTTTTCTCTTAATAATTGAGAACAACTTTGCTGTCTGAATCCCAACCCACATGGATTGGGAGTTGAGTCTGGGAAAGACTTTGCCGAATAAAGATGTTTTGATCACTTCTGGTAATTCTTCCAGGTTTATTAGATATTTATTATAGTCATCTTCTAGATTAAAATTTATATCCATCCAAAAATTAAAATCTACCATCAGCTCAGGCTAGAATTCCTCAGTTGTTGAAAACTACTCGCTTTCTCTCTCCCTCCCTCTTCTGTCTCCACTCTTCTTGAGCCTTTTACCCGTAGAGAATCTGTGGGGAGGGTTGGAGGTGGACTTTTGATTATAGGAGTGATGGTACATCAATTTCCTGATGCTAGCTTTGTCAGTGAGGCATATTCATTTCCCTTCAGGTGCTTTTGGAGGGTGGATGGGTGGGTTCTTAATGACGTGGATCTTAGTATTCGCCCTTTCAATCCTCAAGGTGGTCTCTGTGTCTTTTGTTAACATCTCTGTCCTTCATGGTCTCTTGGGGTAATTAGTTGACTTCCCCCAACATCTACACTATCTTCAGGGCCTATCTAGGGCCACAGGAAACCTAGGAATCCCACATTAGCCTCACTCCGTAGGAAAACAGTCTTTCCCCTTGACATTCTCTCACCTTCACCATCTCTCCTCTGTTCCTTCTCTGTCCTAGGAGCATCAGGTCAGCCTGATGATTCTCTTGGCTCCCTTGATCATCAAGGTTCAATTCAGCAACTTTCAGGTGAGTACTTTTCACTTGCAAACCCATCAGATGCAGAGGCTTTATATGAATCCACTTCAGCTGAGCGCTCTTCAGCTGAGCGCTCTTCTTCAGCCGAGCGCTCTTCTTCAGCCGAGCACTCTTCAGGTGAGCACTCTTCAGCTGAGCATTCTTCCGGTGAGAACTCTTCAAGTGACCAAGCTTCTGGTGAACAGCCTTTGGCTGAACAATCTTCCAGTGAAAAGCCTTCAGGTGAAAAGCCTTCAGGTGAAAAAGCTTCTGGGGAAAAGGCTTCAGGTGAACAGGCATCAGGTGAAAAGTCTTTGAGTGAAAAGGCTTCTGGTGAAAAGACTTCTGTTGAACAGGCTTCAGGTGAAAAGCCTTCAGTTGAACAGGCGTCAGGTGAAAAACCCTCTATTGAAAAGGTTTCAGGTGAACAACCTTCAGGCGAACAGCCTTTGATCGAAAAGCCCTTGGTTGAAAAGTCTTCAGGTGAAAAGCCTTCAGGTGATAAGTCTTCGAGTGAACAGCCTTCAAGTGAACCATCTTCCGCTGAACAGGCTTCCAGTGAAAAGCCTTCAAGTGAACCACCTTTAGGCACACTCTCTTCAGTCACACCATCTTCAGGTGAGCCACTAGTCCCTGACTTCAGGTGGAAAGTGGGGAACATGTCCAGAGTTTTAGGGAAGGAGTGTAGAGGAAAGAACAATTTTAATATTTCACAAACAGCTCTCCCAAAGTTTTAGCTCTCTTTACATGGAGGGCAAATTATGATAATAGCAGGAGGCAGGATCCAGGCTTTGTGGGGCCTTAAAACCATTTGGAGAGCCGTCTTTCAGAAAAATAATACAAATACAAAATGCCAGCAGCCCCTCCAACTCCACTCTACATAAGAAATGACAAATACTAAGTGCCCATGGCTCCTCCAAGAAGCAGCCCACAGAAGTGCAGAATCCTGAAGACTAACCTTTATTAGCTTCATGATAAATCTGCTTCTTAACAAACTCTGTTAGAATGCTATAAATTTGCAAACCCAAGGAAGGGAAACAAAACACAAGGTTGATGCTTCAAATTCTTATCAGACATAAATACTTCATAGTTCACCCCACTGCATAACTATTAGTATGCTAAATTTTCAAATGAGAGAAGTGAGACTTAAGTGGTATGCCTAATGTCACACAGCTAAAACGTGGCAAGCCTTGGATTCAAACCCAGGTCTGCCTAACACCAAAGCTGTACCCTTTCCACTTCTTTATGGTTCCTGAACTCAGTGATTGAGAGTGGAGAGAGTCAATGAGGCAATATGGAAGCATTTCAAAGGGAATGCCCTTTTGTGAAAAATTTACCTTGTTTGAAAATGGAGAATGACGGAAACTCTTTACAGGGTTTGCAACATTTATAGCATTCTGACATAGCTAATTAATCAGATTTGACTCCAAGGGTTTGTGCCTTGCAGGTAAGTGAGGATATGATGGGGAGTATGAAAGGGAGTCAGGCATGTCACAAGTTCACTCTCCTCCTGTTGAGTTAGACATGACAGAAGGGCATTTAATTTCTAAATGTCCAGGAACCTATGGGGATATGGACTGGAAAAAAAGTCTGTATTAAAGAGATAAATTTGAGATTCATCATTAATGAAGGTTACAGATGAAGCAAGAAGAATAAGTTAATTTCCTCTGTAACAGATGAAAGAGTATAGTCTATCAGACGCAGGGACCTCAGATCCCCAACAAGAACCAAGAAATGAATGTGCTGTAGCCAGGCTACTTATTTTGCCCATCATCCCTCCCCAGATGTATGATTCAAGGCTACACACCTGATTCGTGAGGGAATTTCATCAGGCTTATCTTAAATTTTCAGGCACAGGATTGAATTGCCATACGTGTGCTTACATGAATGAGCAAGGAAAATGCCTTCGTGGGGAGGGAATCTGCGCCACTCAAAATTCCCAGCAGTGCATGTTAAAGAAGATCTTTGAAGGTACGTGGTGACTTCGTGAGACAATCTTTGCCAGAGAACACATCAGCCAACTTGAGCACTGATTGGGGCAGAAGGGTGGTAGGGACTTGGAGAGAGATCAGGCTGTGAATCCCCAGGAACTTGGAAATTGAGGAGAACTTTATTCCTTCAAGAATTAAGAGTAGAATCTCAGCTACCGGTGGAGTAGTAGAGGCCCTTTCCAGACCCAAGACTTCTCAAAAAGAGGCAGAGGTGGCAGAGATGTAGTCACAGGCCAGCAAAGTTCTGCACCTGGGCACTCTCTGTTCTCAGTCATCCTGTGACCAAAGGCTGTTAGCAACCATGGAGTTCACAGGATGAGAATGGATGATGGAACACCGAAATCCTTGAGGCTGAGTAGGGGAAGGTAAGTGGGCTCTAGAAATTGGTATATTTGTGAAGGTTAGGATGAAGAAGGAAGTTTGACAGCCAGGTGAGACTTCCTATTTATTAAAGAAATGTGTGAGTTGCCCCTTGAGCCACTGACTGTAAACTCAGGACTGACTATCTTGTTCATGGCTATATATTCCTAGTATCTAACACAACATCCACTACATGATAGGCATTTAGTAAATGTTGAAAAAATAAACTAATAATTATTTATAAGCCTTGTATTCTTACATCTTTCTACACTTACATACACTCGCACCTCATTCCTAAAATAAGGGATCTTGGTTATTTCCATCCCATGATTCCCCTTGTGGTTTGTCTGGTCCCTCACTAGATATACCATTTTCCCCACATTCTACATGTGTGCATTCATCCACCATCACCCAATAAACATTAATGACACATACTATGAGCCCTTACAGAAAAATGAATCAGACATAGACTGTCTACAAAGACATTATGGTCTTATATAAGAAATAACAAATATGACAAAGGAGAAAGTGGTAAACTATCATAAGAAAGGTACACATGAAGCACTGGGAGTTCAGGAGAAGGAAAGATTAGAGGTGCAGGGAAGCCTCAGGAGGAGGTGGTATTCAGAAAAGGATTTAGGGGAACATGTTGGATTTGGGTCAGTTGTTCTCCATCGTGGCTGCACATTAGAATCACCTGAGAAAGCTTCTAAACTATCCTAATGCTGATGCCGCACCAAACAGATAGATCAGAATCTCTGATTTGATGGAATCCAGGCATCAATATTTATTAAAGCTCCTCAGTGATTCCAGCCAAGATGCAGAACCACTGATTTAGTTATACAGCAATTAACGAGAAAGGCTATTCACAGATAGGGAATTATGGAAACAAAGGTCAGAAAAGTGCAGGTGTAAAGAGGAAATAGCAAGGAGTGGAGAGTAGGGAAGTAAGAAGACACATTTGGAAAGATAGGCTAGAGCCATGTCATACAAGACCTTTGATATCCATTTAAGGAGTTAATAGTTCTCCTTTATTAAATCCCTGCAAGGTATCAAGCACTATGCTAGACAGTTTAAAATACACTTTCTATTTTAACTCTTACAATAATTTTGCAAAATACGATTTTTTTTTCCTGTTAAAAGAAAAAGAAATTGAAATAGCTTGCCTGAAGACAGATAACTTAGTAAGGGACAGAGCCAGTATACCATCCAGATTGGCTAAATCTCTTGTTAAGGAAGATTACCTGGAAGTAGGTTAGAATAGAGACAGAAGAGCCTGTTAAAGGGCTATTGTAATATTTCAATCAAAAGGTGATGGATAGTAATGATGGTTGTACAATATGGTGAAGGTAATAATGTCACTGAATTGTACACATAAAAATAAGTGAAATGGCAAATGTGGTGTTATATATGTTTCACCACAATTAAAAAATAAAAAAGATCAAGGACGGCCATAAATGAAGGAAAAAAGGGGAAGGAGGAATGATGGGAACTTGATACTAGGATAGTAGCAAGAGAATGAAGACTTACATATATCTCTCCATGTTCTTTCATTTACTCCATATCCCTCCTTACACTTTAAATCCAGCTGTGTAAGTCGCCATTTCCTGAACACAATTTCACAGTATATAGAAAAAGGGAAACTCAGGAAAATGAGATTTAGGGAGGAAGGTAATGAGTTTCATTTTAGGCAGAGTAACTGTTAGATGTTCTTAGCATATCTGCATGGAGATGCCCATCTGTTAACTGAAAAGGTAAGAATTCAATTTGGGAGCGCAGAGATAACTGAAACCAGATGAGGTGTGAACAGAGCAGTGGGGAAGACCTTATTAGGAGAGAGCTTCATGAAAGAGTTTAGTCAGTTACTTGCTTGCAAAGAGGTCAGAGAGGAAGATTCCTGAGAGAAGGCTGTAGAATTTGATGAGTAAACCTCTAGTGACCTTAGAGGTCATGATTGAGAGTGCCAGAGGCCAAGGTGTAAATGGGAAGGAAGTAAAGGTAATGGGGACAGCCAGCTCTCTGGAGATATTTATGGTGAAAGGAAAGTGAGAGGTAGGAGAGTCGTATGGTCAGGAGAAAGTATTTTTGAGGTTGGGGAACTTGAGTATGTCGGTAAACCAAAAAGGAGCTAGTAGAGAGGAAGAGACTGAAGATATGAGAGGAGTGGGCTGCTTATGGGTGGAAGGTCTCTGATGAGGGAAGGTGAAGGGAAGGGCAAGGAAGAGTAAAAAAAAAAGTGGTGGCTTTAGCCATGCTTGCATGGGGACAATGGGGGCTGTGGATGAAGACCAAGGTTGGGGGAGGAAGCCGTCTGCTCACCACAGTCTCTCTCACTGCCTTGCAGGTGGAAAACTCCAATTCATGGTTCAGGGGTGTGAGAACATGTGCCCATCTATGAACCTCTTCTCCCACGGAACCAGGATGCAAATTATATGCTGTCGGAATCAGTCTTTCTGCAACAAGATCTAAAAGCCTGTGCCCTTACCCACCTTGCTTCTTGCTCTGACTCAGGCAGCCTCTACCACCCTCCTGGGCACAATTTATATTTCATTTTTTCCCTAGTCAACAACCAATCACATCTACCTCTGCCTGAGTCCCACACAGGATGCTCAAATACAGAAGCCCTCATTTATCTCATATTCCCACACCTATTCATTCCCTGTTATCCACTTCTCTCTCCTCTGTCTTGCCTGCTCCCCTTGCCCCCTCTCCCAACATTTCTTTTCAATAAATTCCACATGATTAAAGAGCACAGACTCCAGACAGATTTCTTGTCCTGAGCTTCTTACACCTCACATAATAAAGTAGATCCATTTTGAAACCATTCCATATTGGTGAAAGTAAAGGGTCCTGTGTTGGATTGACTTGTGTCCCCCCAAAATTCATGTCAACTTGGCTAGGCCATGATTCCCAGTATTGCGTAGTTGTCCTCCATTTTGTTATCTGATTATCCTCCATTTTGTTATCTGATTATACTCCATTTTATGATGTGTTATAAATCCTAGCCTCCATGCCTGTGGTTGGAGCCCTGGTGGTGCAGTGGTTAAGTGTTATGGCTGCTAACCAAAAGGTCAATAGTACAAATCCACTGGGCACTCCTTGGAAACCCTATGGAGCAGTTCAACCCTATCTTATAGGGTCGCTATGAGTTGGTATTGACTCGATGGCAATGGGTTTGGTTTTTCTTTTTTTTTAATGCCTGTGGTTATGGTCCCATTTGAGAATGGGCTGTCATTACGTTAATGAGGCAGGATTAGGTCATGGTAATAAGGATTAGGATTAGGGTGGGATGCAACACCCTTACTCAGGTCGTAGCTCTGATCTGATGTAAGAGGAGTTTCCCCGGGGGTGGCCTGCATCACCTTGTATCTTACAAGAGATAAAAGGAGAGAAAAGCAAGCAGGAAGAGGGGGACCTCCTACCACCAAGAAGAGTGGGGAACGGAGAGCGTCCTTTGGACCCAGGGTCCCTGCGCTGAGAAACTCCTAGATCCAGGGGAAGATGGATGTCAAGGACCTTCCCCCAGAGCCAACAGAGAAAGAATTCTCCTGGAGCTGGAGCCCTAAATTCAGACTTCTAGCCTCCTAAACTGTGAGAGAATAAATTTCTGTCTGTAAAAGCCATCCACTTGTGGTATTTCTGTTATAGCGGAACTGGATAACTAAGACAGGTCCCCTAGGGCAGAGACAACAAAGAGACATGCAAAGTAAGTAACCCTTTTACAGGCCTCAGGTAATACTGCAGTTCCTTCTCTCTGATCCTCCACCTTTCCATCCCTACTTTCCCCCACCCCTTACACCTACTGTGTGTCAAAAATTCCACCCTTCTTTGGCTCTTGAGAGTTTCAGTCTTCAATAGTCCACTCTTAACATAATGAGAACAATATAATGATTCCTTATGTATTTATTTATTTGTTAAATAAGAAGCCGTTTATAATGCTTAGATTTTTTCTTTCACACACAAAGTTATTGGATCATCTGCTCAGCATAAAGGGGCAAGTGGAAATCCAATAATATTCCTTATATTAGTATTATGTTCTTCAGGGTGTTTTCATGTATACAGTTTCATCTGATTCTCAGAAAATAACCTAGGAGGATAGACAGGAAACATCATCAACGTTATTTGATAAATAAGGAAATGTGACATAGGGATGTTTTATGTATTCATACTCTACTGTGTTACAAACTTGCCTTCAGTACAGAGAGCCAGAGCTAGATGAAAAACCAAATCTGCATGAACTTAATTTGCATTGTTTTTACCACAGTTTGAATATTAGCGGGAACTGCTCTTTCAAGACTGAATCAATCCTCTCCTCCTTTACAAGCTCATTTCCTTTCAGCCATGGCTTCTACATGCCTCCATTTGAAGCCTCCTGAGATCCGATGGGTGGCTCTAACAGCATCTTTTTCAAAAGTCTCATTCTTCAGTTTTTTTTTTTTTTTTAAGGATAAGGCTTTTGGTTTTATCTCTAACTCTTAAAGTCTACACCAGGAAAAAAGTAATTTTACTGTATGTAAATTTTTTTAATAATTAAAACGTATATATACATTATGACCCCCCCCCCCGGCAACAAAAACAAAAACATATTGGTAACAGACTCCTCATTGGCAATATTGAATAGATATCTCTCCAAATATTGTAGGCAGGAGGACAACGGAACCTATCTTCAAATTTATGAAGGAAAGTTATTTTTAACAATACTCCTATTAATAAATAAACAGGCATTCAAAAAGAAAGGCAAGAAACCTGGAACTAAACTCCCAGATGAATTTTCAACTTGAGTTATGGCTTACAGAGGGGCTAGAAGAGAAATGGAAGCCTGATAACATTCTTGACACTGTTTTCTTTCTTTCTTTTTTTTTTTTTTTTTTTTGAGGGGAGGGCACAAGTATCTATTGGCTATAGGAGTTGAGAGGAAAACGTGGATTCAAATATGTTGTTAAAATTTAAGGGAGTTTCTGGATTTAATTAATGGTGGAGTATTTTGGTTGAACTAACCCTCCTGCCAATAACAATTATAAACTCTGGACAAAATATGAGAAACTACTGTTAAAAAAAACCCTCAAAAATGTAGAGAGAAGTCATCCCTTAAAGGACAGCAACTGCACTGGGTATGATTTGCGTGTTGGTGGCTTTATGTCTGAGGGTACTTCCCAATCCAGCGCCTTGGGGAGGCAAAAAAACACTGGTTTGAAGTTTCAGAGGACACAGATTGGGGCTGGAAGAAGAACTATAAAATTAGGGGAGGAATCCTGGAAAGAAGGGAGCCACAGAGGGATTAAAAAAACCAAACCCACTGCTATCGAGTCAATTCCAACTCATAGCGACCCTGTTGGACAGAATAGAACTGCCCCATAGGGTTTCCAAGGCTGTACATCTTTACAGAAGCAGACTGCCACATCTTTCTCCCATGGAGCAGCTGATGGGTTTGAACCACTGACTTTTCAGATAGCAACTGAGGGTTTTAACCACAGCACCACCAGGACTCCTACAGAGGGCATAAGCCCCAAAATTTGAATATAAAGTCTGACCAAATTCTTGGCTGACCACTGACTCTACAAAGCTCAGCAAAGATAGAAGCTGGAAGCTGAAAAAACTGAACAGAGATTGTAGCTGCTTTCCACCTTAGAGGAGACAGAGTTAAAAGTTCAAGTCCACCCAAGTTCAGTGCCTACTAGAACAAAAGTCAAAACCCTTCAGAGTCCAGAGTCTCTACAATGCATCATTCACTATGTCTAATATATAATAAATATATATATCTTAGATATAAGAAAAAACAGGAAAATGTGACCCATATTCAAGAAAAAAAGGTCAATACACACTGACTCCGTGACGATCCAAACATTGGAATTAACCAACAAAAACAATAAAGCAGCTATCAGAGATATATTCAAGAACTTAAAGGAAAATAGTGTTATATAAATGAACAGATAGGAAATCTCACTTAGGAATTAAAACTATAAAAATAACCAAATGAAAATTTTAAACAGAAAACTACAACTGAAAAATCACTAGATGGTTTTAACAGTATGTTAGAGATCACATAAGAATCAGTAAACTTGTAGATAGATCAATAGAAATTATCCAATTTGAAGAACAGATAAAAAATGATGAAACGAAATGAACAAAGCTTCAATGACTTGTGAGACAATATTAAGCTGTATAAAATATGAGTTATTAAAGTCCCAGATGTTTAGGAGAGAGTTAATGAGACAGAAAATGTATTCAAAGAAATAACAGTCAAAACTTTTCCCAAATCGAGTGATAACCATAAACACGGAAATCTAAGCAGCTTAGTCAATCCCAGGCAGGATAAATACAAAGAAAAGCACGTAGACACATGATACTGAAATTCAAAGATGAACTGAAAAACTTGAAATTGGCCCAAAAGAAAGATGCATTACAATTAGGGGAACACTGATACAAATGTTGGCTGATTTCTCATCCGAAACAATGAATAGCAAAAATATATATATGACACCTTTAAAACAGTAGGAAAAATTGTCAGCCAGAATTTTATATTTCCCCGTTCAGGGTTATAGCTACACTTCAAAAATCTGACGGTTATGTGTCAAATTGACTGGGCCATAATTCTCAGTGGTTTAGGAGATATTATATAATCATCCTCCATTTTGTGATCTGATGTGAACAGCTAATCAGTTGAAAGGGGAGTTTCCTTGGGGGTGTGGCCTGCGTCCAATATATATATGGATGTTCTGGCAAAGCTCTCTCTCTCTCTCTCTCAATCCTGCATCTGACTCATCATCCTCTGACCTCTGGTTCTTGGGACGGGAGCCAGCAGCCTTCTGCCCAACCTGCTGATTTTGGGTTCATCAGCCCCTGCAACCACTTGAGTCAGGAGAAGCCTCCAGCCTGATGCCTGACCCATGGATTTCAGACATGTCAGCCTCCACAATTGTGTGAGCCATTTCCTTGAAATTAATCTCTCTCTGTATATTTACATATACATGCTTCACTCATTTTGCTCCTCTAGAGAACCCAGTTTAAGACAAAAAATCAAGGTGCTTTCGGGTACCAAAGGACTTTACCAAGAAGAGGAAACATACAGAATGGGAGAAAATATTTGGTAACCATATCTTTGATAAGGGTTTAATATACTGAACATATAAGGAACTTATACAACTCAACAACAAAAAGACAAACAATCCAATTAAAAAACAGGCAAAGGATTTAAACAGACATTTCTCGAAAGAAGACATACGAATGGTCAACAAGCATGTGAAAAGATTCTCCACATCATCAGTTATTAGGGAGATGCAAATCTAAACTACGTGAGATACCACTTCACATGCTCTTATATTTCTGATAATAGGATGGCTATTGTAAGAAAACTGGAAATAACAAGTGTTGGCAAGGATGTGGAGAAGTTAGTACCCTGTGTATTGCTGGTGGGAATGTAAAATGGTACAGCCACTGTGAAAAACAGTTTGATGGTTCCTCAAAATATT